CTTAAATTAGCCATCAACCTGCTCCATTGGGGGCATCTCTGCACTGCCCCATCCCATTCCAAGCCCCTCAGTGCCCCCGCTGGGATGGCAAGGAGCGAATCCGCAGTTAGTCCCGCTGGCGTCCTGGGAACGTGCGAGGCCGTTTGCAAACCCGGAGCAGGAAGGATGCAGGGAACATCCCGGGGTACCCACAAGAGAACACGTGGCCCGCTCCCCACGTGGTGCCGAAGCAGGTGCCTCTGTGTTTAATTCTCTGGGAAGGGTTGGGGTTTTTTCGGCTCAGTGCTGCCCTCCCATCGCATGCAGCACCACGGGCTCCAGCACAGAGGTGGGTGCCAAATCACACGGGACGGAAAGCACCCCCCAGCAGCTTTGCCTGGTGCATTGAGGACGGCTCTTCCCAAGGCACCCGGAGCGCGATCCGTGGCCCTCACGGGTGGCAAGAGCCCCCATGGCCCCAGCCGCTCCCTGCGGGGCCGGCAGCGCTGCGGTTTCCTCTGGGCTCTTTAGGAAATGAAACTTTGATAAGCGCCAATGTTTCGATGGGCTCCACGGCGCGAGTGGCACAGGGGCGCTGCGGCAGCGCCAGGTCCGCCCCGGCAGCGGCTTCGGTGCCGCTCCGATGCTCCGGCCCCCGATGCCGAGCCCGGCTGCTACTGTGGCCATTGGGCACCCTCCATCTGCAGGAGCCAGGCGAGGGGGGTAATTTTCGTAATTTTCCTCCCCCTCTCCATATTCCTTTCCCAACGAGCACCCACTGCCCTGCGATGCTTTTGGCAACCTCCCTCTGAGTGTGGGGGGAGCGGGTGCCCCCTACCAACGTCAGCGCGGTGGCGGGGGACGGTTTTCCCTGTGCTGCTCCTCCAGAGCCCCCAGCACCGGGGCGAGGGAAGCCAGCGACTGGGCTCTCCATGACCTTGGTGTCATCCTTGACCTGGAAAGCTCCTTCCTCCGACGCCTCCGACATGACGCTCGGGGCTGTTGCCACCTCCAGCAGGACGCACGGGTGCAGCCCCAGCGCTGCCTCGTGCCCCGCAGCGCCAGCGGCCCCGGGTCCCCTCCCAGGGAACGGCTGGTGACGGGTCCTCAGTGCTGCCGGGTGAGCACGGCCCCTTCCTCCGCATCCCCCCTGCATCATCGACCTCGCCACAAAAACGCCTCCGGGCCACATCCGCTCGCTGCTGCAGGGCAAAGCCGGTGGGGAAAACGGGTCCCCTCGCTCCGGGGCTGCCTGGCTCCGCACACGCCCGTCCCCCAGGCTGTGCACCACAGCATCCGTGGGGCCCTTCCCGGAGGAGCCATTCCCAGAGGGGACAGCGCTGCTGCCTTGGTCCCCAGCCCGTGCCACAAGTCCCCGCTTGGCGCAGCGTCCAGGCAGCTCCCCGGGACACCCGGCTCCCGCGAGGCAGCAGCACGCGGGGATGGTGGCGGCAGCGTCGCCGCCGCTGGATCAAACCAGAAAATATCTCTAAGCTTCGAGGCGCCGCATCCCTCTGAAGTGGAGCACGACAAAATCGCAGCCGCCTCTAAGCCCTGGGATAAGTGGCTTGGCGCCGGCACCGCGGAGCTGCCGCCTCCCCCGCACCCCCCTGGTCCCTCCCAGCGCCGCCTTGTCCCCCAAACCAGTTCTCCCCTCCATGGGGAGTCATCCCAACCCAGCCCGAAGGACCCTGCGACTCCGCCGGGAAGAGGAGCCTTGGCCGGGCACACAGGACCCTCCGGGCTCCCGAAGTGGGGCCGGGCGAGGCTCGCACAGGATTGCGGGCCTTAATCTAACTGCCTGTTGAATTATTCAGGAATGGCATTAACTTATAAATGAGTGTGTTTGACTGATTTTGTGGTTGATGTACAGATAAATTCTAATGAAAGACAGCTACAAGATTTTAAATTATTAATTAGACTGCCACTTAACAAAGCCTATTTGGCACTCTATTTCCTTGCTTAACAAGACAAAAACTTTAAGAATAGGTTTTGTCTTAGCCCAGGGGCTGCTCATTTGCATTTTGTTTTTCTAGCTCCAGAAATGAGAGCCGTAGATCTCGACCCTAACAGGCCACGCTGGCAGGACTAGAGCCGGGTGCCGGGCTGGGCGCCGCGTCCTCCTGTGCAAGTCGCCTCTTGCCCAGCCTGGCCGCTGCTTTTCCAATAGCAGCTGGCAGACGGGATTGGGAAGCAAGGTGAGGAAGCGGAGCAGTGCTGTGGCACTGAGCTGCCAGCCCAACGCAGGAGCCGGAGCTGCTCCTTTTTTCCCGGAGGTTTTTGCAGCGCCGGTGCTGGCAGGAGCCGCGCTGCTGAGCTGAACAAAGGCGAGACGGGAGCCACAGAGAGGATCCTCGGAGCCCCGTGGCCACAAGGTGACTTTAGTCCCTAGCCAAAAGTTGCATCCCTGCGCTGGGAGCACCAGCTCTCCCCATGCCAGCTGCTCTCCCAGCTCCCAGCAGGATGCAGGGAGCTGTGGGCATGGTGCTGGCATCCTTCCATCCTTGGCATGTTGTGTCAGAACCTCGCGTGTGGCTCTGCTCAGCCACCGGAGATTGGCACACGGCGGCACGGTGGCCTGGCCACCAGGACGTGGCACGATGGCCTCTGCCAGGCCACCCACCCTGGGCTCACAGTGGGGCCACCGAGCCAGGCTCCTTGGCCACGGCGGGGAAGGCAACGGGAGACACAGGCACTGCTGTGGCCTGGGATGGCAGCTGGGGCAAGGAGGGGACCAGCCCGGGACCCCATGGGGCTGCTGAGCGTCTTCCCCCTGCAGCCCGCCCAGCCCCAGGCACAGTGATGCCGGGGGGAGCCTGCCCGCCGCCCCGGGGCACGGGCCACAACCAGCATCTCCCTTTGCCATGATGTCAAAAAGCTCCCCGATGATGTCCCAGGCGGTTGCCATGGAAATCGCGTGATGTCACGGCGGAGAGATCCTCCCTGGCATGAAGGTGGGGGCCGGGACAGCCCCCCCCTCCCCAACTTCCCAGTGTCCCCGCCAAGCTCAAAGGGGCACCCGCAGAACAGGGACACCGGGCACCGTCGCGGCAGCACCCGCCACCCGCGGCTCCGCCACCACGACCCCCGGTGTCCCTCCGCGGTCCCCGCCGTAGCGCCGATGCCGCTGCGCTCCCGTACCCACCGTGGAGCCGCGGTGCCCTCCGGTGCCCG